GCCTCCCAAAGTGCTGGGATTACAGGTGTGTCACTGTACCCAGCCAGGCAGCCACATTTCTGTCTCAGGGCCTTTGCACTGGCTGTTCCTCTGCCTGGAATGCGCTTTCCCCAGATGTTTCCCTCTCAGTGAGATCCCCCTGAAAATTCCAACTGCTCCCTTACGGTCCCTGCGTTTTCTGAGCGTGAATCGCTATTTAACCAATGCATTTATCGTGTATTTTTTCCAACTCTCTGTTTAGAATGTCAGACCTGTGAGGGCAGAGATCTCTGTCTCATTCACGCCTGTCTCCCCAGCACTGAAAACAGAGCCTGGGACATAGTAGATGCTCAATAAATTATGATTCAATAAATAAGGGAAAGAAAGGAAAGAGGGAAGGAATTGGCAAGTCGGTGGGCTCTTGCGGATTGTCATCTGTCCTAGCTGGGAGGCAGGAGTGTTAGCACGTCTCTTCTTCCCGGATAAGATGGTGCCAGCCTGGGAAACTGAGAGGCACGAAGGGACCCTGGGCCATACTCCTTGAGCCCTGAAGCAGGAGCCAGCTTCAGACCAACTCTCAGTGTGGGGCTCAGAAGAAAAAGCCCCCGACGCCACCTGCTGGTGAGTAGTGTCACGATGGTTGTGCCCACTTTGCTGACAGAAGGCTGGCGATGCCCTTGCAGGGTGGGCAGGAAAGGAGCAGTCCAGGGGCACCCCCAGCAGACATGCAAAGTCCATGGAGCCACAGTTTAAGGCTCTTGATTACAGAAGCCCTACGGGCACCTCGCTCCATCAGTGCTATGCAGGAGGGTGGGGCCATGCCAGCAGAGGCCCGCCCTGTGTCACTCTGTGCCCGCTCCCTCCACAGCCAGCCAGGACTCCCACCTCTCTAGGAGGGGACAGCTGCCCCAGCTCCATAGGGCTGCATGTACCCTCTATGGGTCCTCTGGAGGGCAGAGGAGTCAGGACCCACCCAACTCCCCACCCAGGCCTGATCAGTGTCTGGTCACAGCAGCCAAGGTGGCAAAACAGGCTTCTGGAGGAGAGCGGCTCCCATCCCTAGAGGTACGTCCTCCGGCCAAACAGGGGTCTCACCACCCAGATGTCATCTACAATCTTCCCATCCTGTGAGGGACAAAAACAGGGACAGTAGTTAGAGCTGAAAGCCTGAACTCCGAGGCCAGATGGCCTGGGTTCCAATCCCATCTCTGCCCTCTGATGGACTATGCAACCCTGAGCAAGGTGCTAGTCCTCTCTGGGCCTCAGTTTTCCTCATCTGAAAAGTGGTGGGAGAGTAAGAGTAGCCACATCACTGGTGTTGTGGGAGTTAAATTAGATAGTATTTGTAAACGGAGCCCAGCATATGGAAAGGGCTGTGTGAGTGTAGGATATTTTTAGGACACAAACTCCGGAGTCAGACAGACCTTGTTTTATATTCCAGCACATTCTCTCTCTGTCTCTCTTTTTTTGTTTTTGAGACAAAGTCTTGCTCTGTCACCCAGACTGGAGTGCAGTGGCTTGATCTCGGCTCACTGTAACCTTCGCCTCCCAGGTTCAAGCCATTCTCCTGCCCCAGCCTCCTGAGTAGCTGGGAATACAGGCCCACACCACCACACCTGGTTAATTTTTGTATTTTTAGTAGAAACGGGGTTTTTCCATGTTATCCAGGCTGGTCTCAAACTCCTGACCTCAAGTGATCCACCCGCCTCGGCCTCCCAAAGTGCTGGGATTACAGGCGTGAGCCACCGCGCCTGGCCTTCACATCCACTCTCAAGCGTGTGGCTGGACTCTCCGAGCATAACTTCCATGTTCTATGCAATGCGCAAGGTAATAGATGCCCCGGGTGATGGCGAGAACCGACTGAGATCACACACACAAAGCGTGTGGCCGGTGCCTGTACCACTCAATCAATGGTAGTTATCAGATCCCAGCTCCGCTGTCCTCCAGCTGTGTGACCCTGGGAAAATTACTTCCCCTCTCTGAGTCTCAGTTCCCTCACCTATAAAATGAAAAGGAAATCCACTCCTGTGGGATTATTTTGGTATATAAAGAGCTGTTGGTGCCGGATGCGGTGGCTCACACCTGTAATCCCAGCACTTTGGGAGGCTGAGGCGGCAGATCACCAGAGGTCAGGAGTTCAAGACCAGCCTGGCCAACATGGCGAAATCCCCTCTCTACTAAAAATAGAAAAAATTAGCCAGGTGTGGTGGCACATGCCTGTAGTCCCAGCTACTCTGGAGGCTGAGGCAGGAGAATTGCATGAACCCGGGAAGTGGAGGTTGCTGTGAGCTGAGATCACGCCACTGTACTCCAGCCTGGGTGACAGTGAGACTCCATCTCAAAAATAAATAAATTAATTAAATAAAGTGCTACTAAATACAGAACATCTAGGCAGTGCCTGGTATGCAGTAGGTGCTCAATAAATATTTTTATTATTTTTAAACTACAATGGCAAAAATAAAGAAAGGTGAGCCATTATTATTTGGGTCTACCTAACTGTAAGCCACCCCATCTGCACACCCCACTTACTGTTTCCCCCGCCTGCATCCCACCCTCACTTGTATCTTCTCCTGCCCCTCAATAGTAAATACCTACAGAATTTACCAAGTTCCACACTGTTCTAAGCATTTTATACGTAATAAGTCATTCAACCCCCATACAGTCCTGTGAGATGGAAACTATGATCATCCCCTCTCACAGATGGGAAAACTGAGGCTCAAAGAAGTTAGATAAGTGGCTCAAGGTCATTCAGCTGTCAAGTAGCAGGAGCAGATTTCTAGCTCGACAGTCCATATTTATTTGTTGTTTTGAGTTAGGGTCTCACTCTGTTGCCCAGCCTGGAGTATAGAGGTGTGATTATAGCTCACAGCAGCCTCTAACTCCTGGACTCAAATGATCCTCCTGCCTTAGCCTCCCAAGTAGCTGGTATTGCAGACATCTGCCACCACACTTGACTTTTTTTTTATTTTTTATTTTTTTGAGACAGAGTCTCACTCTGTCACCCAGGCTGGAGTGCAGTGGTGCCATCTCGGCTCACTGCAACCTCCACCTCCCAGATTTAAGTGATTCTCCCGCCTTAGCCTCCTGTGTAGCTGGGATTACAGGCACCTGTCACCATGCCCAGCTAATTTTTGTAATTTTAGTAGAGACTACATTTAGTAGCAATTACAGACACCTGCCACCACGTCCAGCTAATTTTTGTAATTTTCACCATGTTGGTCAGGCTGGTCTCTAACTCCTGACCTCAAGTGATCCACCCTCCTCAGCCTCCCAAAGTGCTGGGATTTCAGGTGTGAACCAGTGCACTTGGCCTAATTTTTGTATTTTTTGTAGAAACTAGGTCTCACCATGTTACCCAGGCTGGTCTTGAACTCCTGGACTCAAGCCATCCTTGTGCCACTGCACCCGGCCATGTTTTTAACAACTCATTTGCCTGGCTGGTCCTGGCTATGCAATAGGGTGACTTGGGCCTGGCCCTCACTGACCTGGTCGTCCGACACCTGCTGGACGTGGATGTGGGTCCCGTTGAGGATGTGCAGTCGTGTGTACCCATACTCCTTCACACGCACAGCACTCCAGGGCCTTGGGAAGACAGCAAAGGGCGTCAGCCGCTCCTCACAGCCCTAGGAGGGAGAAGTGGTCAGACCCACGGCAGGTGGAGGACCCACAGGGAAGCAGAAATGACCTGCCAGCCCAAGACCCTGCTGCCCTCAAGGAAGACAGTCAAGATTTGGCCACCAGAGGCCGGGCGTGGTGGCTCACTCCTGTAATCCCAGCACTTTGGGAGGCTGAGGAGGGCAGATCACTTGAGCTCAGGAGTCAGAGACCAGCCTGGCCAACATGGGGAAACCCCTTTTATACTAAAAATACAAAAATTAGCCTGATGTGGTGGCGCACGCCTATAATCTCAGCTACTTGGGAGGCTGAAGCAGGACAATCGCTTGTACCCCGGAGGCAGACTTTGCAGCGAGCCTAGATCATGCCATCATACTACAGCCTGGGAGACAGAGCGAGACCGTCTCAAACAAAAACGAAACCAAAAAGACCTGGCCACAGTAATGCTCACAATTGAACACTCTGCCCCAGCCAGGCTTCCCTTGCCCCAGGTCTCTGACTTCTAGAAAAGTACATGGCTGTAGGCCAGGCACAGTGGCTCACGCCAGTAATCCCGGCATTTTGGGAGGCTGAGGTGGGCAGATCACCTGAGGTCAGGAGTTCGAGACCAGCCTGACCAACATGGAGAAACCCTGTCTCTATTAAAAATACAAAATTAGCCGTGTGTGGTGGCACATGCCTGTAATCCCAGCTACTCGGGAGGCTGAGGCAGGAAAATCACTTGAACCCGGGAGGCGGAGGTTGCAGCAAGCAGAGATCGTGCCATTGGACTCCAGCCTGAGCAACAAGAGTGAAACTCCGTCTCAAAAGAAAAAAAAAAAAAAAGAAAAGAAAAAGTACATGGCTGTACAAGGCTGCCCACTACAGCATTACAATGAAAGCTCTGAACCAGAAGCCATCTCTACACTCATCAGGGAGCCAGTTAAATACGTTATAGCATAGCCATCACAAAGCAGGGAAGCAGGGCGATACGAAAAGATGGCCAAGATGTGTGTGAAGGGGAAAAAGCAATTTGAGGAACAGAGAAATAACTGGGGCTGAAGCTGGCTGCATGGTAGACCCTCCAAGAAAGCGTTTTAAAACACCAGTGTCTGGGGAAACAGAATGCCTGTGCTTGCAGCAGAAAGCCAGGCACGAGAGGCAGAGAGGTTGTTGGAGTGAGGAAAATCACCGCTTTGCACCCAGAGTTGTAATACCAGATTGAAGCAAGGTTCATGAATGGACCATAAAACTAGGAGGGTAAGTTTGAGGCATAATAGGATGTTTGCATAATCTCAAAGTATCTCTCCAGGAGATGCTTGTTAATTACAAAGGAAAAAAGAGAATCGCTTTATAGTGGAGAGGGCTGGCGGACACCTCCCTAACCAAGTGATCAAAGTGATCATCAGTAATGAGACCCATCCATATCACACTTTCAGCTGAGAAATCAGAGGCTCAAAGAGGTTAAAAAGACATCGTGCGGCTGGTGCGGGATTGATGGCTCACGCCTGCAATCCCAGCCCTTTGGAAAGCTGAGGCGGGCAGATTGCTTGAGTCCAGGAGTTCAAAACCAGCCTGGGCAACATGACAAAACCCCATCTCTACAAAAAAAAAAATACAAAAATTAGCTGGGCATGGTGGCGCGCGCCCGTAGTCCCAACTACTCGGGAGGCTAAGGCAGGAGAGTTGCTTGAACCCAGGAGGTGGAGGTTGCGGTGAGCCGAGATCGTGCCATTGCACTCCAGCCTGGGTAACAAAAGCAAAACTCCGTCTCAAAATAAATAAATAAATAAATAAGTAAATTAGTAAGTGTACTAATAACTTTGTTAAGCCCTATCCTATGTAGCTGTTAGACACGCCATGCTTATAGGCACGTAGTACATTCTGTGTCCTTGTACTTAAGATATCTGTGCTGGAAGTTCTCACAGCATGTCCCAGCTCTCTATTGCTTTTACCTGTTTGGAAAAGTTTTAAGTTGGTAGCCAATCAGGTTTTAGTTTAGATTGTGAGGTCTGGCTCCAGGCAGCAGAGATCAGACACAGCAGTAAGGACGACCCCAAATGCATCAGGAGTAAATGTGTGTGTATTCCCCTTTGTTCTTTGGACTCTCCTGGCATGATGGCTAATGAGAGTACCTTTCCTGCAATCCAGGAAGTAAAAATTGCGTTGCTGAAAGGTCCTTTGCCTCAGTGCTAATTTTCCTTTGCTGCACCGAGCATCTATTTCCAACACCAGTGGACATGCTGCTGAGAGTTCCTGGCCTTAGGGCTGAGGGTGAAGTGATATCCACTGTGTAAAGCACCCAGCACTCAGGCTGGAGCAAAGCCAGCCCTCCATAGAGAGGAAGAGAGAGAGAAGCCAAAGGCACCCTTCCCCCTGCTCACGGCAGATCCTGTGATGATGTGGACAGGGCCCCGCGGGTTGGTGTAGGGCATCTCTTGGCTACCGTTAAATACCTGTGGAGGGGAACAGTGTTCAGTGGCGGGCAGTCACGCTGGACCATGCCGGGGCGTCAACCACACGGACCCCAGCCGCATGGGTGCTCCGCCCTTCCCGAGCCTCACCTGGTAGTTGTAAATTGGCCACAGTCGTTCGTACGAGTGCTCATGAGCCCACAGCTGCAAGTCCACCCCTGAGACAGAGCAAGCGAGGATCAGACCTCTGAAGCGGGGACAGGTGGGCGTGGGGCGTGGGTCCCGAGGGTCGCTCACCGTGTTTGTAGAAAAGATCCTCCAACCCGTACAGCTTGCCTCGGAGGCCTTTGCGGACCTGGGCAGGGTGAATGAGCAGGTGAGGGTGACGCACACCAACACCTGCCTGGGTCTCAGCGCCTCCCTGATGCCTCCCGGGACCTCCCGGATGCCTCCCAGGGAGGGGCCTCACCTTGCTCTCATGCCGTGTGCAGTCGTCCAGATCTGCGTTGGAGCAGTACATGGGCCGGTGCCCCATGGTGATGATCCAGGGCCGGGCTGCCCGGTTCCTATTGGCTTTCTAGGGAGAAGGGCTCAGAGTGAGGGGCTGGGGGTCGGGGGAGGAGGGGGAGGTGGGACCGGCCGGGGAACGAGCGGGGACCTCCACCCAGGTTACCTGGAGGTCGCTCTCCAGCCAGCGAAACTGCCTCTGTACCAGCTGGCGGCCATAATGGAGAAAGAAATAGACCTCGGTGGAGAAGGAGATGATGTGGGCGGGACCCAGATCCCAGCTGGGGGAGGCAAAGGGCAGGGGTTAGGGCCGGGGCTCCGCTGCATCTCCCATCCTTCAGGGCAGAGGGCCAGTCCCCCGGCACCCCCACATTACCTGTACCACAGGCCCTCATTATCCCCCGGCATGCTGAAGCGAGCCTTGTAGTTAGAGAAGTTGCTAGAATAAGGGAAGTGCAAGGGATGGAGGTGAGGGACTGAACTTCATAGCCCTGCTCCTATACCCCACCTCGTCACTGTCGGGCCCTGAGTCTGGCTTCCAGCTCACCCCCACCTCTTCTTGCTACCACAATTGAGATGTTGCAGCATGAGAGACTCAGGGGAGACGCTAAGAAGAACAGGACCATTTTCATTGATCCAGCCCTCGTCCACCGCCATGGCCCTTGGTCCTCACTAGCGTTCTTCGTGATTCCCGGGGCATGTCATGTATGGCAGGCTGGCAGCCACGGGTTCAATGAGCCGCATGAACCTATCCCCGACACGGGCGTTGTCCTGGTCCATGTTGTAGGCAAAATCTCCTGGGGGAGGGGGGACAGAAGGATGATGAGGACTCAGACTGGTTTCTGCTTTCATTGGACTTGAAAGAGCCAGGTATGGTGGCTCACTCCTGTTAATCCCAGCACCTTGGGAGGCCGAGGCAGGAGTATCACTTGAGCCCAGGAATTCGACTCCCAGCCTCCCAAAGGGATTATAGGTGTGAGCCACTGTGCCTGGCCAAGATGTTTTGTTTTTTTTAGACGGAGCCTCCCTCTGCCACCCAGGCTGGAGTGCAGTGGTGTCATCTTGACTCACTGTAACCTCCAGGGTTCAAGCGATTCTCCTGCCTCAGCCACCCCAGTAGCGGGGATTACAGACACTGCTTGGCTAATTTTTGTATTTTTAGCCAGGCTGGTCTCAAACTTCTGACCTCAAGTGATCCACCCACCTCGGCCTCTCAAAGTGCTGGAATTACAGGCATGAGCCACCTCACCCAGCCCAAGATGAGTATTATTATTCCCATTTCAGATGGGGAAACTGAGGCCCCAGGTCACACAGCTGGCTAGTGAGGATTTAGAAATAACCTAGGAAGCCTGATTCCGGAGTCTGCACTTTGAAGCATACAGTCCTCCATCCCCATTACCCATCTCATTCCCTTCCCCCTCTTAATAACAACAGCAATAATAATGGTAACCAGCACAAGGAGACCGAAGTGCGCCCGCACCCTGCGGGGCAACGGGCACTCATGTAGTCATCACAGCAGCCCTGTGAACTTGGAACCAGCTTTTCCTCTGATCAAAATACACAGGGAAAGCCCTGCTCCTGGCAGGAGAGCCAGAGTTGAGATTTTAACCTGGGCAGGCTGGTTGACCACAGACACCGCCTCCACCAGTCCCATCCCCTGTCCCTTCAGAGACACATTGGCCCCAGCCCCGTCCCCTCCAAGGTCCTGGCTCCACCCCTAATCCGCGCTCCCCCCACCATCCCTCTGCGCCCCCCACCATCCCTCCATGCACCTCCACTATCCTACCACGAACCCCCCACCATCCCTCTGCAGGCCCCTGCGGATGCAGATGCCTCACCCACGTGGAGAATGGCATCATACATGCCCTGCTGGGTGTCCCTGCGCAGCCGTGGGAAGGCCTTCGGGTTGTCAGCCCCCAGATCCCCAAACACAGCTAGACGGGGGCTCCAGTGGGCCCCATTCTTGAGGGCCCTGAAGCGGAACCGACGGCTCCAGCCCTGGGCACTGCCACAACGATAAACTGAAGGGAGAAGAAAAGGTTGCAGTCAGCTGGCCTCCCAGGACCCTCCCTCCAACCCCCATCCTTCCTCGACTGGTGGAGGGGAGGAGATGGGGGGACTAGTGGGGGCTGGCCCATGCCCCTTCAGTCGGCCTTCCTGGCAGCTTCCATTTTCCTCCTGGGATCTCATGCAATAGGCTTGCAGATAGGCAGAGGAGTTACCAACCCAGCCTGAGCCACCAGCCAGCGGTAGCTTCTAGGCCATACCCTACTCCTCTTCCCATCAACAGCTCAGCCTGGGGCCCCTCTCACCATACTGAACCCCCGGCAGCAGCTTGCGCAGCGTGACTCGGTGTATGTAGAGCTTCCTCCGGAGAATGCCCCCGTCCACAAAGGGGACAAAGGTGCCCTGGGCGCGGAGGGGCAGGGGCCCTGACGGCTGCAACCCGAATTGCACTTCAGAGCGGGTTGGGACCCATGTGGTCCAGGTGACAGTCATGGAGCCTGGCTCACCTGGGGAGAAAGGGACAGAGGGTAGTGGGGGAGTGAGGCCTGGGGAGGGTGGGTGGGAGGGACGTGCAGAAAAAGTGAGGGGCGTTGACAGTAACTGCTGTTGAACAGTTAGTAGTCAAGGACACAGGTTCTGGAACTGCC